TAAATGCTTCTGACACCAGTGGCCAACACGTTACTAAACAAGTACACATATGGTGTCATGTGGTGTTCAAAGTGCGTTCAACTTAAATCAGTCTTGATGATTTGTGTCAATGAGCATTTGGAGTTTAATACATAAAAATACACTTGATAGTTAGAATTTTAAGTATATTTTCTGTATATTATGGTAATTTATTCTGTATTTTGCCAGATTATGGTGATTTTCGGGTCATGATGATGGGGCCCTTGAAGATTGTTGCCCAGGGTACAGCGAAGTGTTAATCTGGCTCTGGACAGGGCCTTCACTGTTGCAGTTCTAAGACTGTGGAATGAGTTACCACTGCATGTCAGGCAGGCCACCTCCCTCACAGTTTTTAAGTCTCGCTTAAAAACCCACTTTTATTCCCTGGCTTTCGACACTGTGTAATCTGTTTTTAACCTGTCTGTATTCTACAGTGTTAGCCATTTGTTATGATCATTTTCCATTTGGATCTATATAGATTTTACTGTGCTTTACTTGTTTGTTTCTGCTGTACAGCTCTTTGGTTGGCCTTGTTGCTGTTTTAAGTGCTCTATAAATAAAATTGTATGGTAAAGTATGGTATCTTTAGCAAGACTAACCTGCTGCACATCCTTTCCAGTCTGGTCCCTCTAACTTGCCAATCGGTACAAGTCCTTCTCACCCTCTTTAGTGTCCAGCCTCCCACACAACTCCTCATACGCCTTCTGCTTTGCCTTAGCTACTTCCCTCTTTGCTCTACATTGCATCTCCTTATATTCCTGTCTCCTCTCTTCAGTCCTCTCACTGTCATATTTCTTCTTAGCTAACCTCTTTCTTTGAATAGCTTCCTGTACTTCACTATTCCACCACCAGGTTTCTTTATCATCCATTATCTGTCCAGATGACACACCAAGTACCTTCCTACCGGTCTCTATACTGTTGCTGTAGTAATCCAGTCATTTGGAAGCTCTTTCTTACCAGCCAGAGCCTTTAACAGCTCCTCTCTGAATTTCTTACAACATTTTTCCTTCTTCAGCTTCAACCATTTGGTTTTCTTCTCTGATTTTACTCTTTTTCTCTTCTTCACAACAATCATTCTACACACAACCATCCGATGCTGTCTGACCACACTCTCCCCTGCCACAACCTTACAGTCCCCAATCTCCCTCAGGTTTCCTCTTCTACACAGAATGTAGTCTACCTGCGTACTCCTTCCTCCACTGTTAAAGCTCCCACAGACTCGGGCGGTCTTTAGTCCGCACGGAAACTGTGCGCACTGTATGCAGACGGTTGAGACTTCATACTCGAGCGTCCACCCTGAGCGGCTACAGAGCAGCTCCGCAGGCAAGGGGCGGTTACCTTCGGAACAAATTGAGGTCGCCGATTGGTCATTTGCTGACACACCTACTGGACTGACTGACAAATTGCAAAAAAAACAAAAAAAAACGAGACCTGGCAGCCCCAGCTGCAGCGGTGTTCTGTGTTTATATGTTGTTAATAAAAGTTATAAAAAAAATAAAAAAAAGGAGCGCTGGCCCTGCAGCCCACACATCAGACCAGCCCACCAGGAAATCTCCAGACCCTCCCGCAGCCACGCTGGACCTAATTTTAATTCTCTTGTGACAAATTCCTTCATTTCTCAACATTTCAGTCATGGCATAAACGGACGAGGAGGAAGAGATCGCTTGCCTCTTGGAAAAAACAAAACAAAAGAAAAGGCCATTAAACCAGACATGGTATGAAGAAGGGGAATTTAATACATTGGTGTCGCATGCAAAACAGTCCTGTGGCCGGGCAGTTTATTGTGCGACACCAAGTACGCGTACACGGTCGTAAAAATTTAGCTTTGCACGGACATCCCCTGCGGGCGTCCGCTTCAAGTCTAATCCAGTACGCATGGACCTCCGCGGACTGAAGTACGTCCGAGTATGCTGGAGGCTTTATAGGTCACTCTATGTTCCTTCCTCTTTTGGAAGTAAAGTGTTGACTACAGCCATTTCCATTCTCTTGGCAAAATCCACCATCTGTCCTTCCTGGTTTTTCTTTCCTTGACACCAAACCTACCCATTACTTCCTCATCCCCTCTGTTTCCTTCACCAACATGTCCATTCACTTCTGCTCCGATCACCACTCTTTCCTCCCTGGGAATACTCTCTATCACTTCATCCAAATCCTTCCAAAATTTCTCTTTCTCCTCTACGTCACATCAAACAAGTGGTGCATAACCACTGACAATGTTTAGCATCAAACCTTCTACTTCTACCTTCAGGCACATCACCCTATCTGACACTCTTTTCACCTCTACTACATTCTTTGCCATCTCCTCCTTCAGGACCACCCCTACTCCATTCCTCTTTCTATCCACACCATGGTAAAACAGTTTAAACCCTGCTCCAATGCTGAAAGCCTTGCTGCCCTTCCACTTGGACTTCTGGACACATAAAACCTCTACCTTCCTTCTCTGCATCATGTCAGCCAGCTCTCTACCTTTGCCTGTCATTGTCCCCACATTTAGAGTTGCAACCCTCAGTCCTACATTTTTTACTTTCCTCTTCTCCCTCTTGTCTCCTGACATGCTTTCCTCCTTGTGGTCTTTGACAAACAGTGACAAAATTTCCGCCGGCACCCTTTGTCCACAGCATCGGTGGTGGTCGTTGTTAATCTGGGCCTCGACTGATCCAGTATGGTGTCACTTTAATGAAATATGAATGAACCATTAGAATGGAAAAAGTGTTGTATGTCGGATGACCTTCCTGACACAACCCTCACCATTTACCTGTGCTTGGCACAAGAGATACACTGACTTGTGCTCCCTAGTGGCTGGTTTGTACTTAATATAGCCTAATATTGCATATAATATTAATATTGTTTTTTCTGTTTTGCTGTTGAACCTAAAAATTTTATTTAAAATGTCGATGACATCAAGACTTGGATGCCTGCGAACTTCTTGAGTTTTAATGATCAGAAGACTGAGGTCATTGTGTTTAACCCAAGCTCTACCACTGTCACTGATCCTGTAAACCTGCACTCCCTTCAGCCTCATCTAAAGCAGTCGGTTACCAATCTTGGGGTAGTGTTAGACTCGGACTTTAAGCTTAATAAACAGATCAACTCTGTTCTACATAAAGTTTCTTTCAGCTAAGGCAAATAGCAAAGCTTAAGTCCGTTCTGTCCAGATCCGACCTTGAAAAACTAGTCCATGCATTTATTAGAACCCGGCTGGACTACTGTAACTCACTTTATTTTATGTTGGGGTCAGTCAGGCTTCACTTTCACGTCTCCAGCTCGTACAAAATGCTGCAGCTCGGCTACTAACAGGAACTCGCAGGTTTGAGCACATTACTCCGGTTCTGTCCTCCCTTCACTGGTTTACTGTACCTGTCAGAGTTGATTTTAAAATTCTCCTGCTGACATTCAAGTGCATTAACGGCCTTGCACCATCATACCTCTCCAACCTTCTTCATCCTTATACTCCTTCTCGGGCTTTGAGATCATCAGACCAGATGCTTTTGGCCGTACCAAAAACCAGCTGAAGCTCAGAGGAGATCGAGCGTTTGCAGTCGTGGGCCCTAAACTTTGGAACAATCTGCCCATCAACATTCGACAGGCCACCTCAGTCTCTGTTTTTAAATCTCTCCTAAAAACACATCTGTACTCATTGACATTTAACACAGGGTGATCAGCTTTAGATCTAGTTTTTCATTGATGCTGATTCTGTTTATGCTTTTGTTATTATTCCAATTTAACACAAGGTCATCAGATCTGATTTAGTATTTCATTGTTTCTGACTGGGGCAGCACGGTGGCGCAACTGGTAGAGCTGCTGCCTCTCAGCGAGCAGGTCCTTGGTTCAAACCCCGGTCCAGGGGCCTTCTGGGTGGAGTTTGCATGTTCTCTCCGTGCATGCGTGGGTTTTCTCCGGGTACTCCGGTTTCCTCCCACAGACCAAAAACATGCATGTTAGGCTGATTGGTAACTCTAAATTGTCCCTAGGTGTGAGTGACAGAGTGAATGGTTGTTTGTCTCGTTTGTCTCTATGTGTCCCTGTGATGGACTTGCGACCCGTCCAGGGTGTACCCCGCCCCTCGCACAGTGATTGCTGGACATGGGCACCAGCGACCCCCGTGACCCAAAATGGAATAAGCGGGTAAAGATAATGGATGGATGGATGGATGTTTCTGACTGAGTTTATGCTTTTTGTTATTATTTCCTTGACTTTTGACACAACGTGATCTGATTTAGTATTTCATTGTTTCTAATTATGTTTTCGGTTTTATATTTTTATTCCATGTGCTGTAAATATATCTTGCTACTTTTTATTTGATGTTGTAATATTTTTGTTAAGCACTTTGGTAACAGTTTCTGTTTTAAATGTGCTCTATAAATAAATCTGACTTGACTTGACTTAAAAAAGTATGACTATTAAATCTGCAGAAGGTCTGCATATGCATCAGCCTCTTAAGCCTGCAGGTCAAAATTAGACCGTTCATAAATTGGAGTCGTGGGGTCGCTTTAACAGCTTCTTTTTTTTTTAAGTTTGACCAAAATGGCTACAGCTCAGTCATTTCTCATCTAGAGGTGATCTTAGTCTAACATTCTGATATGAAAGGCAGCAGGCGATATGCATAGCTTTAAGAAATGTGAGGCCTTTAATTCCATCTTCAGATATTGACCATCTTATGCCAATATCATTTGTGACTACAAGAAGATATTGACATAAGATAGTCAATATCTTCTTGTAGTCACAAATGATATGCTGCAAATGCAGGTTACCGTCTTCTGTAAAGAACTAAACGATGATCTTTAGAAGTGAAAGGCAAAGTCTGAGTGGGCCTGATAAGGAATGGTGATTACCTTTAGCATGTCAGCATCACTGGTTCCAGCTTTGAGGATGCCGAGCCGCTTCAGCTGCCGTCCCAGCAGAGCCAGCATGGCGCTGTAGATGTGATCGAGACTGACGCCCGGGGTGCACAGCGACAAGCAGGAGAGCTGGACCTCCAGAACAGCCTCGTACAACTCGGCCTGGGCTGGGCTGAATCTGTCGGGAGAGGGGCGAGAAGAGCCAGCCGTTGAAGTCTAATTGAGTTTGTTGCAATTTTAGAATAAATCTTAAACACATTCCAGACAGATTTCTTTTCTTTTAGGATTTCAGTGTAGACAGCTACGAGGAAAATAATATAATGTGGAGTATTTTATTCAGTAAGTTGCCCAAAGATTTAAAAGAGGACTAAGATTTTCCACTGTTTTACGCTTAAAGACATTTGGCATCAAATCAGTCAAACAAGTAAAATACTTTGATCTCTTTTGAACAGTTTAGCATAAACTAGAAAACAAGAAGTAGAATTTGACCAAATAATTTGGTCAATTTCAGCTGTTTTTTTAAACAACTAACAAGGCAAACACATCTGAGGACAGCACAGTGTTGATACACTGCCTTTGTGTCCCCCACTTCCTGGGTGTGGGGGTGCCTTTAACGGCACAGGAGCATTTTTAGCACATTCTTATCCAACCCTAAACACACATACAGCAGATAGATCAGCATGGTGTTCTCATTAAAACAACAGTGGAGGAACTAGAAGCTTATGGAGGACGGAATTTGACAAAATGAAATAAATAAAAACACAATAATGAAATGAATCAATTAATTATTAAATACATAATTAAATAATAAAATAAACAATCATAGACGCTATTTAAGAAGTAGCATTGCTTGAAGAAATGCATATCGTTAGCTTCCTTTCATGCCGAAGTTTTAAACAAAGATTTTGTGCAGTTTTTTTAGCGCTTGGAGAATGACTCTCAGCTGCTACAGCACCATATTTGAGCCACATCAAAATCATCAATTTTGGGTCACCAGCGAGCGCCTTGGTTGCCAAACCTCGGCTTCAGAGGCTTGGCTGGGCCAAGCCAGAAAAACAAGCGGTACGCCGATTTCCTTCATCACTGAGGTATTTGAATAGTGTCTGTTTGGTGAGTGTTTTTCTGGACTGGAATTGAACAGGAAATGCATGTAAACCTTAATGTTTTAGTGCAATATATTCAAATGCATAGAAGTTACATTATGTATAAGAATGGAGATAGTTTTTTTTTCTTCTTGTCTGAAGTGGTGCAGTGACACATCCTGATGAGCTGAGGGAGAAATTTTATCTACCACCAGGCGCAATGGTGCAGCCAGGAGCCAGGGTGTGGCCAATGGTGGCCTTGGCCACCATAGATTAATCTGCAGCCACCCCTATCATTTGAGGAAACTATACTTTTAAGCAATACAAAAAAATAGAAAGCATAGTTTCCTCAAAATGTTCGAGGTGGCTGGTTTACACACACACTTAGATTTTGACGTGGCAACCCAATTTGTGATAGGAAACTTTCTTACACCTAGGCGTAGCCACATGCCAAAATGGAAGTCAACTTATTTTTTAAGTTAACCAGCTCACAAAACAGACTGATGGACGTAGGGTATTTCCAAGTCCTCTACTTGCTCTAGGATGGGGACAGTTTTCAGGAAACCAACTCCATGTGGGCCCACCACCTGCAAGGAGAGCCGTCAAACTGGATAGGAGGTGAGTGCGGGACCCTGGACTGGCTGATTCTTGGTGACAAAAACTAGCTCCATGGACATGGAATGTGTCTTCACTGGCTGGTTAGGAGCTGGAGCTTGTGAGTGAGGTTGAGCGATGCTGACTAGCCATCGTTGGGCTCACCTCTACTCTCAGCTTGGGCTCTCGAATTAAAGGATTTAAAAAGGTGGCTGGATTCTCTTCTGCTCTGAAGTAATTCATTTCTGAGAGTTTAATTAAAATCCCTCCAGTGGGTCATGAAATATTTTGCTAACAGAGAGAACACATACCCAGACACAGTCAAGAAAACCCATATATGCTGTTTATGGCTGCAGACAAGATGAAAGGTGATTAAAATGATGCATCGAGTCTAATCAAAACCACTTCCAAGTGAAACATAGGAGGGTGTTTAAAAGATTTTTAACCTTATGCTGTTCCAACTAAAGACATTCACACATCCTACTGTAAGAATTTATCCACTTTTCTTTATTCACAGTTTTGTTTGTCCAAATATCTAACAGATTGTAACGTGTAAAGATTAAAATATATCTATAAGTAAAAAAAAAATATATATATATATATATATGTGTGTGTGAATATATATATTTATATTTATATATACAGTGCCTTGTGAAAGTATTCGCCCCCTTGAACTTTTCAACCTTTTGCCAAATTTCAGGCTTCAAACATAAAGATATAAAATTTTATTTTTTTGTGAAGAATCAACAACAAGTGGGACAATTGTGAAGTGGAATTAAATTTATTGGATGTGTCAAACTTTAACAAATAAAAAACTGAAAAGTGGGGCGTGCAATATTATTCGGCCCCCTTGCGTTAATACTTTGTAGCGCCGCCTTTTGCTGCAGTTCCAGCTGCAAGTCTCTTGGGGTATGTCTCTTTCAGTTTTGCACATGGAGACACTGAAATTCTGCCCATTCTTCTTTGCAAAACAGCTCGAGCTCAGTGAGGTTGGATGGAGAGTGTTTGTGAACAGCAGTCTTCAGCTCTTTCCACAGATTCTCGATTGGATTCAGGTCTGGACTTTGACTTGGCCATTCCAACACCTGGATA